GAACGTGAATCTATTTAGACACTACGCTTCACAGCTCAGGACACAATCTTAAAATAGTGCTTTTCATGAACCCCACAAATCAGGGCGACGCTTTCTGTATATATATATATATACATATATATACATGTAAGCGCTGCCTTTTGGCTGTGTGCATGATCATATATACATATACAAATATATATATATATATGTATATGTATATGTATATGTATGTCTATGTATACATGTATATAAATGTTTTCATACATCGGATCTCCACCGCTGACCTCGGCTTGGTGCAGGTGACGCTCGAAGAGGCTGCGAACGCCCGCAGCATGGATGATCTTTACGAGCCTTGGTGATCATGGCAAGCGTTTTCGCCTTTCGTTCTCCTTTCCGGAGATTTCATGAAGTAGTTGGCCCACTGCTGTGGTTCCTTTCTGATATTCCCTTCGGGTCTGCGACGTGGACTTGCAGTGTACGCTTCAGTGGAGAGCTTTATGTGGCTGAACACGCCACCCGTTTCTACAGCGTGAATGGTTTAGAACCAGTCGCTCGTCACGACTCGCCCATTGATGCCATTGAAAACCGGCTCCCAAAAATGGATGCCCATCGGCTGGTCACATTCAGTTCAACTGCTAAGTCAGTATCCTTATTGAGTCTCAAACCGAAGCCCTCTTTCTGGAGTTTTCTGGGTTCAATCTTGGAGAGTGTTTGGCAGACTTTGCAGTGTGCAAGACGCATGTTCTTGCCAGCCTTGATGCTCCCATCGGCCTGTTTCCGCCAGTTTTGGGATCGACTGGAAACTCCGACGCCAGCCCCGACAGTTGCAAAGCTGTACAGCGTAGACCCAAAGCATCTCGGCCCAAAACCTAGACTCTACAGGCCCTTAAACACTTGTAGTAGCCCGTATAGTAAGCTTCCACAGACTCCGAAGCCCCGAAAGCCCCCCAAAACGAAAAATCCTAGGAGCGGCTTTTCACGGCGCATCGCATGGACAGCTTGGATCTGCTGCTCGGAAGGTCAAGACTCGTTTGCTGAGCGAACTATAAGGGCGAGTCGGGCTTTTGAGCCCCAGCAAAAAAAGGGCGCAGGAATGGAGTCGATGTTGTTGAAGAGAGATCAGGGATTGCTGCAAGCTCCGATCCTCCCTGAGGCCCGAAAGCTTCTCACACCGGATGCGTGCAATTGTCCGAGGCGTCCCATAACATTAATTAGTCTCCAAACACCCTGAAGCCTACATCCTGAAGCCTAAACCCTAAACCCTGAACCCCTAAACCTTGAACCCTAAACCTTACATAAGCCCTCAACCCTCAACCCTGAACCCTGAACCCCTAAACCTTGAACCCAAAACCTTACATAAGCCCTAAACCCTGAACCCTGAACCCTTAAACCTTACATAAGCCCTGAACCCTAAACCCCCCTGTCCCTCTTCAGGCTCTTCTCGCACTTTCTCTGGGCGAACTTCACGGCCGCCCTGGCAAAGCCCGGCGGAGTGATGGCAGACGAGACGACCTCGAGCTTCCAGCCGGTACCTGGGCTGTTTGTGTTACGTTGCCGCTCGTATTCGTAAGATTTTGGGGTTTTGGGGTTAGTTACTATATTTCGGGAGTTCATTGCTTGGCAGGTTCAGGTTTTCATTTTCGGGTCTCGGGTGGCATGGCTTGGCAAACGTTGGAGCCGAGCATGCAAGGCTGTCTTCGCTGAGTAGGGGCCTAGTCTACTGATGTTGTTCCTGCATGATGCAAGTAAGTAGGATCGACAGTGCATGAGATGTCGCTCTTCACTGCACGTTCCGGGCAGTCTGGACAATCTGGAACTGTTGCCAGTGGGTGGTCTTGACAGGGGTAAAGCGCACAGAGATTGTGCTGTCTCCCAGACATGGCTTAGCATTTCTTGACCTGTCGTTTTCATCAGGACGCAGCTGTTCTGTCGTGTCATTTGTTGCGACTTGCAGCACAGGCGGACGCGCTCGAGTCGTTCTTTCCTCTTTTCCGACGAAAAAATGACCCTAAACCCCTAAACCCCAGGCAAGTTCCCGTGAAGTCCATGATTTCAGGGCGCCCTTGGCTTCAGGTCAGCAACCGGAGCTGGCTTCCGCTGCATGAGAACAGCGAGGTGCGTTCGACAAGTTGGTACCACCAGATCCGAAGTTCGAGCAAAACCCTCACTAGTTGTGAGTTGAAGTGCATCTGCCTGCACCCGAGTGCCTGGAGCTTCGGACTTCTTCTTCTCCCGCGAGTGTGGGTGGATGTTGCTACTACTGTTGCTGCTATTCGTACTGCTGCCCCTGTTACTTCCCCTTCAGGATGCTGCTGCTGCTGCTGCTGCTGCTGCCACTCATGCTGCTGCTACGACTGCGACTACGACAACGACAGCTAGTGCTACGCCTCCAGCTGCTGCCTGTGCATGTCTTGCTTTTGCTGCTACTACTTCGATGTAGCCGCCACTAGTCACGAGTGTCGCTGGTACAAAGATTGTCTAGATATTCCGCTCAAGCTCCATGCTCAAATCCTGGGAATGTACTACGCAGGTAGCAACGAGAAGGCGCCTCCTCATTGCTCACCTTCAGGCTCCTTTGGGGAAAGTAGTATAGCACGAGCAAGTTCAATCCGAGATGGCATGATGCAAGTTGGACCGGCTGCCACTATTCGCCTTGCCATGCCTGAAGACAACGAACTCTAGAAGGCACATTGGCGTGTTGTCCTAGCATTGGCTCCTACTTTCGATATGCGTGGAACCTGTCGCTCGTGTTTCCGTGTCATACAATCCATGGATTGTGGAGTGCTCGGCCAAGCTGTGTTCTGGAAGCGCATGGCAGGGCAGGGTATTCCATGTCACATGGTTTCGTGGTATGGCATTTCACGTTATGTCTATGGTAGGAACAGGCCGCACACGTGATGTCGGATAAGGTGTGGGCATAGATCATCGTGTCACGAGAACTATGTCAGCATGTGAACTATGCAGTATGCAGGCATGATCATGAACACGAATATCACAAGTAAGAAAGCCCGAGCTCCTTGTCTCGGGCAGGAGCACACGGCCCTCTTCCTGCGGTGGCAGGAGCCTATCGAGGGAAAGCTCGCTTTCGTAAACAGCACAGGCTCTGTGGAGGTGGGTCACATCGAACACTTGTAGGGGTTTAGGGTTTAGGGTTTAGGGGGGATCCAAGATTCCCGCAATTTCGGGATCCTGCAGGTCACTTTCCGCCTCTACGACAACCTGAGCTTGCTTGGGGTTGATTACTACAATGCAGCCTCAGGACCTCTCCGACACGTCCATGGGTTCTCACTGCAAAAGGGGTTTGCAGCTGCCCTGCAGCCCTAAATCCTAAACCCTAAACCCAGGAAAATCTGTCCACTTGGACCTTGACCTCCCCGACGCTTGTCCCGACCAGAGTGCTTTTATTTTAAAGGGGCTTAGGGTTTGCGGTTTAGGTGTAGGTTTGTGGGTTCCCTTGGATGCCGCGTCCCAGAGCTCTGCCGTAGTGGTTGACCCTGAGATCTTCTGTTTAGGGCTTAGGGGTTTGGGTTTAGGGTTTAGGAAGTTTAGGGTTTAGGGTTTAGTGCTCAGGATTCGGAGTATTTCCTCGCCGAGCTGCTGGGCCTCGCCTCACAGCTTCTGGTGGCTCGGGGTACGTCTTGTAATTTCCACACATGGCATGTGCACATACAGTTGTCGTTATGAGTATATATACACACTGTATGTAAACACCCATGTGTGTATGTGTATGTATTCAGTGGCCGTTGGGCCTTCGTTTATCTGCGCATGAATGTGTCTGCATGCCTGCCTGCATGTCTGCATGCCTACATATGGATGCATGCATGTGCTCATACATGCATGTACGTGTGTACATATGCATACATACTTGCATATAACATGTATCTACATGTTCTGGTAGATGGATAGATAGACAGATAGATAGATAGACAGATAGATAGATAAATAAATAGACAGACAGACAGACAGACAGATAGATAGATAGATAGATAGATAGAAAAATAGATAGATCGAGCGAGATGGTTGTGTTTTTCTGCCTTCAGAGCGGTGCAGGTGGATGAGCAGGGCCGGCCCTTGTCAGCAGAGCTCGCCCAGGAACAGCACGAGGCTTGAGAACCTTCAGCTCGATTGGGTAAAGGCCGTTGGAACCTCAAGGATCTCGGAACAGCTACCCAGCACAGAACGCCCCTCCGACGAGACTGACCGCTCCATTAAGTGATGTTGCCCGAAGCAGGGCAGCAGCAGACAGGCGCGGACCTACCTGGACTCCTTTGCGGGCCTGCTGATGGACCCGCGAAGTTTGTACGACTTTGCGTGCTTTCATGTCAGGTGAGTGCGGTGAGTGCAAACCCTAAATCCTAAAAGTAATATTGGGGCTTCCGCAGTCGGAGCGGGTGTAAACTTACAGCTTGGAGGGAGTTTTGACTCCGAAAGCCGAGGCCCAGAAACAGAGACGGAGAGGCAGAGAAGAGTAGGGTTTGGGATTTGCGACTGTGTATCTCCTGAATTTCAATTCCGACGATGTCGCTGCTCAAGTTCTTAGGCGCATGATAGGTCCATGGGCGGCGCCTGTCCTGTTTGAAGTGCGACACTGGCTGAGTACGCTGTCCTGATTGGTTGCTGCTGTGGAGCTATCTTCAGCTGCCTTAGCATTTCAGTCAAGTGCACGCGGTTGCTTCACGAACTCCTGCGGACCTACCTGCTTGGTGCTTGGGCGGGCGAAGTCCCCAGGCTGACCCCGGAGTAGATGGCTCAATACCGGGCTCATCGTGCATGAGCTCGAGTGGGTCGGATCTAGCGGCAGTAATCCTTGCCCTGGGCGGCACCGTTCGGCGTCGCAGCCGAGCCTGTCGACGTCCTCTGCAAGTCCGTGCAATCGTGCATTTTCGTACATGTTATCGCTCCGGCTTGAACAATTGCACTGTTTCTTGTACGTCCCTCTACCTAAGATGGGCGGCCCTCCGGCCGGGGGACTTTGCCTTAGAGAGAGAGAGCGAGAGACCGAGAGAGGGAGAAAGAGCCAGATAAAACTAAAGACACTGGGGCTCGGGGGACAAGAGGTCTCGGGAACAAGCCCTGGGCCGTGCGGACACTTCTGACACCGTTTAGTTTGCGGCTGCTTCTGCCAGGGTGTACCCGCTGTGCAGGGTTCAGGGCGAGTGAAAGCAGGTCAAAACAATGCATGCGCGGAGATAAGGGGGAGGGAGGGAGAGAGGGGGCACCTTGAGCGTGCGGGTGGAGAACAACCTCCTTTTACCCTTCTGCGAGCAGCTTAATCATAATCTGAGGCAGACTTGGAGAGGGATGCGAAAGCGGGCACGAGGTTGCACCCCGTCTCTTAGGCCTGCGGAACAGAAAAAGAGAAAAATAAAGAGAAGGAGAAGGGGAAGGAGAAAGAAAAGGAGAAGGAGAACTAGCAAGAGAAAGAGAAAGAGAAGGAGATCGAGAAGAGAAAGCGAAAGAGAAAGAGAAATAATGGCAGAGTGAGAGAGGGAGAGACAGAGGAGAACTAAAGAAAAAACACTTTCATTTTGTGTGGGAGCAAGGCCAATCTGCCTCGTTTCCGGTTCAACTTGTGCGAAGCATTGCCCAAGATAACAAAGTCATCACCTCATTCAATATCCGGAAATTCTCCCTCTTCAAGGGCCGTTGTGTTATGGGATGCACAGCCTCGAACTGAGGAAACAAGGCTTGTCCGATATCCTTCGCGGTAAGCATGAGCATTTTGGCCCAGTGTGAATTCCGCACGTTGTATTTTGTCCCTATCACTCTCGTTCCGCCCATGCCGGTCAGAAGGCTAAAGAGAAGCGATGGATAACCGAGTGCCAGCAGGCTCAGAGAGGGCTCCAGACCTAGCACCTGTGGAGGAGCTGCAGCAAAACACATCGGAGGTCTTAGAGGCTGCCCCGGAACGGCTCTTTGTCTTAGAGCTAGCTGCAGCTAGCTGAAGGTTTTCGGGTTTACGGTCTGCTTTCGTTCTGTTCACCTGGCATTGAGGGTTTAGGCTTGCAGATAGTCATCGCGCAAGTCCCTGCTTAAACCGAGTGTGCATGCAAGGTGGCATCCCAACTGCGGCAGCTGATTGAACATACCCTAGACCCACAACCTAGAAATTCCAAGCGCCCCAACACCACGACTCCCTAAAGCCCTCAGTCACTTCAGACTCAGGTTGCCACTGGAGGATGACTTCCAGCTAGTGGCTGAGGAGGACGCGGAGACCTCCAAGGCTTCCCTGTTTTGGGCAAAGCGTTCGAAACTGTCCGGAGGAAGGAAGGTAGGCTGTCCAGGCGGCAGTAAGAGGAAGAAGAGATGCACACGTAGGGAGAGAGAGGGAATGAGAGACACGCCAATTGCTGATCATAGCCGCACAAAGCTCCAGCGAGCAAAATCATTCCATGCAGCCGTGGGGATTGCTTTCTTTCACAGCAAAACCGCCCCCTCTCGTTGCAGCTGTCTCCGAACACCCCGCCAATGCTCCTGGCGCTCGGGGTCTCCTGCTTCGTCGTAGGCACAGCCTGCGGCCCAGTCAAATTCGGGAGTTCAGGATCCGGGTAAAGTTCGCGAAAGAAGCTCAGAAGACCCGCTGACTCTGGCCTTGGGCCTTCCCGGATTGAAGCCGGACCACAGGTAGAACAAGATGCAGGCAGTGTGTATGTAGATAGATAGATGGATAGATAATTAGATGCGTTCACATGAATGCATGCATTCGTATGTGTAGAAAGATGCAGAAGCATTAAGAAATAACAAGTCAGACCAATCGTTCGCTAGTCTCTGTAGAGCACCTGAGGCCCTAAACCCACCCAGCCCAGGTCTTGCTGGCTGCGTCCTGGGCCAAGATGCAGAGATTTCGGGCCGGATTTTGGGGGCTTTGGCTGAGCTCAGGGATTTAAGGAGGTGACCAGATTTGTGCATGAAGTGCCGTAACCTTTGGGGCTGCAGGATTTTGGGTTTTAGATGGGCTTGTGTGTGTCTGTCTGCAGTATAAAATTGGCATGATAAGTCTCACGCAAGCTATCATCGCATTGAGAGACGACACCGTGAGATCAGGCTCACTCGGAGCCGCTGCGAAACCGGAAGCCGTACACAGCCCATTACAAACCATAAGCCCCCCGTACAGCTTGTAACAACCTTGCAAACCCTTACTAAGCCTGGTCTAAACCCCGATGACAGCCGATTTAATCATGAATATTTGTCATTTATTTACTAATATTAGTAGTTATAATGATTTTCTTATGGAGTGCTCTGCACCCAGGTTGGGCCTTGCCCCAGAAAGGTGGCCCTTCGCACGGCTCTGGCAGTCCCTGGGGCGGCTGGTCTCGGACCGAGAACCAACCATAATGATGGTGGTAGTAGTAGTGGTGGTGGTTATTATTATTATTATTAGTAGTAGTAGTAGTAGTAGAAGTAGTAGTAGTAGTAGTAGTAGTAGTAGTAGTAGTAGTAGTAGTATGCCAAGAAGAACAACAACACCACCAACAACCAGAACACCAAGAGCAACGAGAACAGCATTAAAAAACAATAACAGCAATATCATCAATAACAACAAGAACAACAGTAACAACAAGAACAACAGCAATAACAACAGCAACAACAACAGCAATAATGACAACACTTGCAACAATAATAACAACGATACCACCACCACCACCGCCACCGCCACCGCCACCGCCGCCGCCACCCCCACCACCACCACCACCACCACCAAACAGCAACAACAACAACAACCACCACAACCACACCTGCAACAGCAACAACAACAACAACAGCAACAACAACAACAACACAATAACAACAGCAAGAACAACCACTACACCTGTCACCACCCCGACCCCAGCCACAACGTTCAGCAACAACAGTACAACCAGCTCCGACTGCGATTAGACAGCAGTGCCCCGAGTCCTCATAGCTGAAATTTGGCTCGCCCGGATGTGGACGCGTCAGGATGCGAGAGTCTTGAGTCGATGCTATCTAGCCGAATCTTGCATCTGTGCATCCAAATGTGTCGTGTCAAGGTCCTTTTTGTCACGCACATCGTGGGCCGGCTGATGAGGCAGCGGATTGTCAAACAGACGTCTTACTTTCGACGTTGCGGCCTGCGGGTTTCTAGCCAAGCTGCTCGAAACTCGACACCTCTCCCTCGCCTTCAGAAAGCCTTCCAAACCCAGTGTGTAAACCTGCAGAGCCCCCCGCCCCCTGCCCCAAAAGCCAGCCGTGCACTGGACCCTTGGCCGTCAGGTTTGGGGTGTTGAATCAGGCATTCCCCGTGATCTTTGGGGCTGCCCATGGCAGGGTGGATTGAAGATTTGGAGTGGGGGTTTTGAGGTTTGTGGTATAGGTGGTGCGAGTAGACCTAAGGCCTCAGACTGGCCCAGACTGTCGTAGCAAAGACATGCTTTGTCTGCATCTTCTAACGTTCAAGAATTGCAGGTTGGGCCCAAGCGGTCGGACCTCCCTCGGCGGTCTTCACTTTCGACTCGAGTAACTCTGTTTTGTAAGCCTGATAGTACCGATAGTAACGTGTATATTTACCTGCTATCCTGCAGGGAAGCCCACAGCTGTCGAGGCCTGTCCCCGTCCACGACCCAACGCGCGAGCACCCTATGCCGCGTGCCGCGCACGAGGCAAGGATCAGGTTCAGGTTTGTGTAAGGCATTAAAGGCCTAGGGCATTGGGTTTGGGCAATTGCATGTTCACTCTACGAGTACTACGGCTACACGACGGCTAGGACTACAGCAGATGCTACTTACTACTGCCAGTAGAAGCCGAAGGACCAGGAGCAGGAGGATTGGTATGTGTAGCGGTGTCATCGGCCCATAGTCGCTCGACCAGGACCGGGCAGCTCGCGACCCAAACGCCGACAACGGCTGAACATTGGCTTTTTGAGTGCTCGGTTCTCTGCGGTTCAGGGCACGAGGTGGTAGGTTTAGGGAGTGGTATATAGGGTGGTGCTTCCTTCTGCTGCTCTTTCTTGGGAGTGTCCGGGATCTGGAGATTCAGAGTTTCCTTCACTTCGCACGTTGGCCTCGAGAGCTTGTTCCTCCTCGTACTTCACAGCTTGTGGTCTAACGAGGTGTGAAGGTGCCCAGGCACAGCTTGGAGCCCCCCTTGCTCCTTCACCTTGCAAACTCTTTTCTCTTTCCGACCTGTTCTTGCGTTTGGCTCACCTCACCACGGGCAGCTGCGATCAACTCGGCAGTGCCGGGTGCTCAGAGGGAACAGTACTGCAGCCACAAGCTAATCACTGTTGCTCGCTTTTTGTTGAAATCGCTCGTGTGTACTTGCGTGTTTTGCAACTTCGAGCTGTTTTTTGTCGATGACATCTTTTCTGCTTCGTCGCGATCCGTCGTAGATCTGTGGCAAGCAGCAAGTTGCTTGGCCGGCCTCATGCATCCTGGCTGGAAAGCACAGAACACTCAAGCTCGAAGAGGACTGATCCTCGCCCGAGCTCAGCGGATTTCTAGAAGCATTGCTGGAAGTCCATGTAGACCGAGATGCTGGGTTTTACTGTTTCCGGTTCACTTAACGCAGACGGTTATGAGTGTTGAGCGCTGGTAGCTGCCTTTCAGCCGTGAGCGTGAGAGGTCTGACTGTTGGGCGCAGGGGTGACAGGCCAGCCGACAGGCCTGGCGTGGTGCGAGCTGACGTTGAGGCATGCAATCCTCGAGCTTTTGTTGTGAATGACTTGAAGCATCTCCCGCTGTCCTGAGCCAGTTCATGCCAAGCCTGAGCAAGCACGACCATCTCTCACTCGAGATTAGAGGGCCCTGCCATGCCGCGCCTTCCCTCTTTCTTCGCGCTTCCTCTGTTTATTACCTTCCAGTTTGCCCTTACCGCCTCGGAGCCCTGCTCCGACTGTGCCTCGCCGGCCCGTGGCTCTGAGCTCCTGCAGCGCTCCTCCTCGAAACCGCTGAAGACGGAGGGGCCCCCTCCCACAGCTCTGCTGAGCTACGAGGAGTTGGAGGGCCTGGTGGAGAAGTCTTGGGCCCGGGCTCGGGAGCTCGGGAAGCGCAGCAAGCTGGTGATCGAGAGGAACTTCAAGTCCTTCGATTCCTCGCATTACAAGAGCTTCAAGAAAGAGCTCAGCTGCATGGAGAACGTGGAGGGGGGCTTCGACCACTTCGTGGCCCGGTCTTCGCTGGATCAGGAGCTCACGCCGCTGGAGCTTCAGAATTTTCGTGCGCGGGTCATCGAGGAGATGGAGATCCTGTGCAAGCACGATGCTGCCGACGGGCACGTCGATTACATGCAAGACTTTATGCAAGCTTTGGAGGACGAGCGCCCTCTCTTGACCCAAAGGCTGGAGGAGAGCTTGCAAGGACTGTACCATGAGGTGAGCTTCGAGTTTGCCGAGTGGTTGGCCAACTTCTCCACCATCGACCTCCAGCACCGTACCGGCAGCCAACCGCCTCACGAGAACCGGACGCTTCTGCTGGAGACGAGCCGGAGCATCGTGGAGCGCATGAAGAAGCGCACTCTGCCCGCCAACTTCGACGCCCGCAACCATTGGCCCGAGTGCAGCGAGATCATCGGCCGGATCCACAACCAAGGCGCGCAGGAGTGTAGTCGTAGTCTCTCGCGGAGCTTGTTCCAGAGAGCGAGAGTGCAAGTTCTTGTCAGGTCAGTGCGGAAGCTGTTGGGCTTTTGGAGCATTATCAGCCGTGGACAGCCGTCTCTGCATCGCCACTAACGGTGCCCTGGACAGAAAGACTCCTGCCCAGCGAAAGCAGGGAGATACAGGGAAACCCACACTGGCATTCCATAGGTTGTCCGGGCAGAAGAGGCAGAAGGAGTCGCAAGGGAGAGGAGAAGAAGGCAAGAGAGGACAGAAGCGAGAGAGAGAGAGAGCTTCGATGATCTCATGTGGCGTCCCTTGTCTTCTGTATCGTAGTTGGAGAAGCCATGTTGACCTCCGTAGTTTGAGAAGCTCATGTGCAGTGAAATGTATAGAGCCGCAATCACACTAGCATGTTAAAGCGCCTGAACGTATTGTTACGTACTGCAGGCACCTTGGCCTTACAAGAACAAAAGCTGTTGTTTTCCGTGCTGTAACTCCGGAAGGCGACATTCGTTTCAAACTGGTAACGGGGCGGTCGGATTACAGCGTTAGTTTTTCACCTGCAGTCCGTAGAGTGGAACCTTAGATCTCCAGGGGTAGCTTGGGTCGAGCCATGAGTAGTGCAGGGCTGAAATTCCAGGCCACCCAGTGGCGTCACAATGCCGCGCCGGCAGAGACGAAGTCAGGCTCGGATTCGCAACACGAACCAGACTGCCACGGCAAGTCGTGCGCCTTGGGCTTCTGTTTGCGTGAAGCACGTGCAGGTGAGATCCAGCTAGGTTCCAGGCCCGTCTGAAGGTTCGCTCTTCCTCCTGGAAAAAGATCTTGCAGGATGTCCACCTACAGTTTTGTCAGAGTCGAGTAGGAAAAGAAAGAAGCGAGCTCATATTTATAGAGTCAGAACAGGGTGGAAGGCAACGGACTGCTCGATTCGGGAACTGCCTCAGCATACCGCGACTGGGAATTTCGCACATATTCGCACACAGATATGCGTGTTGCAGCATAAAACAAGGCAGGGCGTGGGGCCGCTTTTGCAAGAAGCGTGTCGCCTAGGAAGTGGTCAGGCAGAGCGTTTCAGGGATGTAGACTTAGATCGGAACAGAACGCCGCGAGCAGTAGCCACCCCACCGAGGGTGAGTCAAGCGGCATACCCGCGATCCCGTCTAGTGCCGACGACGACGATGGCAACGAGTCATCCCAGCCAGATAGACGGCGGTGACCGAGACATCGAGGAAGAAGGCCTGGCGAATACCGAGCCCGTGCTCACTTTGGCAGACGTGAAGGACTCCGGCATTGACATGTCGGAGTGCGTGTACAAGATGCTGGAAGGCCTGAGAGGCGATGCTTTTAGCATAGCCAGAAAGCGTCTGCTGCCACCAGCTGGCATAGACCATCTGAAAAATCGTCAATAAGCCTTTCCCCTCCAGCCGAAGGAGGCTTCTGGATTGTTTAGACAAGGGCAGTTGATTACAGCGCCCCTAGCGAAACAGCAGGGAGAACCAATGGTTTCGTATATAGCACGATGAAAGCGTCGGTGGTCGACGCTGCAAAAGCTGGACCCTGACATGCGACTGTTGGAGGCCATGCGAGCCTCGTTGAAATGTCTGATTTAAGCCGGCGGGAACAGCTCATGACTAAAATTGCCGCTCGAACACATACCGTCGACTAATACGCAAGGGTGCTTGTGCAGCACAAATCCGTGGTGCACATGAAAGAGACACTTCTCACCGAGAAGCAACCCCATGGACCAGGGTATAAGTCTTGGGTGGCGCGGCAGCAGAATACAGCCCCAAAGTACGGCTACATTGGCTACGGTAGCGGCGAAGAGGACGCCGACGTTGAGCAAAGTATACCATCGACCGGTGGGACATCAAGGCCCTCTACCCCTAAGCCATTATGGGATGAGGTTATTCACCTTCGCAACACCTGCCCGGATTCGCAAGGTTTCCTCGCTCTGAAATCATCGCCGGCTAAAAAGGCCTCTAACTCGGGCAAAGGTAGAGGAGTTATGTCCCCGCAGCTTCGCATGCGTGATAGTCCCCCTTCCGGAAGTCAGACGACTTTTAGGTTTGGCCAACACAAGAGGTTAACTTACGAACTGGTATTGTATACTTACCCGCGGTATGTCCTCCGGGGCCTTTGATCCCAATACAGATGTATAGGACGCATGACTCTGGCCTTTTGTGCGTGAATCTAGTAGAGGGACTAGCCATGGATAGGCAGCCTAGGTTGGTCAACAGTTTCAAGATCCCGTCTCCCCTTGTTTCAATGGACTCACGAAACAGTGGTGCAGCCCCACCGGCTCGGACGAGCCTCCGGTCAAGAAGGCTACCACCTCGGTGGCCAGGATGACATGCCGTATGGCGAGGAAGATCGCTTTTAACACCCGGCATTTCCTGGCTGTAGAGCAGAGTCTGCGGAGCCAGCTCGCGATTCTGCCATGGCTTCCTCGTCCACAAGCGCGAAGTCAAGAAACGACACGCCTCCGCTGCCGACTGTAGTCATGTCTGGAGTCTGGAGGTTTTGTCATGCAGACGGCGCCTCCAGCAACCATAGCGCCGCTGGACCAGGACTCAGTTCCTGTGGTTCACCATGGCTACAAGTATCTACGAGTATAACTCGACAGTGCAGCGTTTCAGAAATTCCTGGGTTCAGGCTCTGTCGACCGTTTGGAAGACCAGCAGAGCTCAGCTATAACGCTGGAGCGACGCAGGACGTAGTGGGTGTCGATATTTTTCGACATGACTTATCTTAGTGATGAGAGATTTGGTCCTGACTCCTGACTCAGATATACATCTGAAGGAAAGACTCAAGGAGGACCAGGTCGCCAACCGGAATCATGTTGGGTCTAATCCCAACATACTGGACGAGATAGTCGACCATGAAGAGTTCGTCCAACATGCCCAACCAATATATAGATATAGATATAGATATA